GACGGCCTCCATGTATTCTTCTTCATCGGTCTCCTCTGAGCCAGCTTCCTCCTCGACCTCTAAAACTAACGTGCAAGTGCGACTAGACCCAGCAGCTCCTCTACTCCTTTGTGCTCTAGTGTTAGGTCGATCTTCTTCATTAGCCCCTGTTGCTAGCTCCACATCAAGCCATGTAAGATCCTCACCCTCAAACACACGCTCTTGTCTTGGATCCATGGTCCACTCACTTATGGAATCACCATCAGCTTCATATAATTGAATAGGGTTGAGCTTCGTGCGATTTTCATACCTCACCCTAAGCCGCTCGTTATACCGCACATAAACCAAATCATTCAACTTTTTCTGCTCCAACCTATTTCTTTTTTTTGTATGGAGCTATGGTAGAAATTTGAAATCAGATAAATTAGATTTTACATTAGAAAAGTGAAATTAGAGAAATAATGATTAAGGAATAAGGAGTAAAGGACTTACATGCTCAAATGCACTCCAATTGCGCTCACAACCAGATGAGCTACATGTGAGATTCAACACTCGAATAGCGAGACGTTGTAGATTTGATGTCTCGCTTCCATATAATGCCCACCATGCAGCTGTATAATATTTTATAATTTAGAATATACTTAAAAATTAAGGGTATAAAATAAATAATGGAACTATACATAAAGGAAGAGACAAGTAAGATTATTTTTGGGCTTTTGGCCTATACCTGGATCTGTAGTGTCCCTATTTCGAGTGGCAATATCTCTCCCAAAGTTTCCCAAGGTTAACTTGAACTTAATCAATTCATGGCTCTAGATCCCATCCTGGATATCTTTGTCTGGCACCAACCTCTCCAGCACATCTAAGAACCCACCATTTATTACACGATCTGACTCAATGGATGGGTGCTTGCAGTGAAGAGATGGGTTTAGAAAATAACCGGTTGAATGGAGGTGCCTGTGAAGCTAGGTATCCCATCTCTTATCAATAATTTCAAGTATAGCCTAGCGTATATTTCATCATCCTTTAAAACATCTTTTATTTCAGTTCTTGCCCTAGTCATTGCCTCATGTATGTAGCCCATAGAGGGCTTCGCATCACCATCAACCAGTCGAAGCACTCTCACAAAAGGGCAAGCCACCTCCAATGCAATAGTTATTTGACTCCAAAAAGATGTATTCAGAATAATTTTTTCAGCCTTTCTCCCATCCTTATGTTTTGACCATTTGCTTTGACTCCATTGCTCTGAAGCAAACATGGTCCTCAAGGCACTTTTTTGCTTGGCTAGGCTTCGAAGAATGAGAAATGACGTGGCAAATCTAGTGATACCCGGTCTCACTAATTCTCTCTTCTTTGTAAAAGACCTCATCATGCTTAGGACTATGGTGTGATTGTAAATAAATCCAACAACAAACATAGCTCTTGAAATCACCCCACTAAATAAAGATGTTGTACCCTTTTCCTTAAGCATAAGATTAACACAGTGAGCTGCACAAGGAGTCCAAAACATATGCTTCATTTTCAAAGTCAAGAAATGCCCAGCTGCAACATAGTTGGCACCATTGTCAGTGATAATTTGTACCACATTTTGCTCCCCAACAAAATCGACAATCTCATCCATCAAGCCAGATAAGTATGTACCATCATGTGACTTGTCAGATGCATCAATAGACTTAACAAAAAACGTACCTGTTGGGCAGTTAACCAAAAAATTAATGAATGCCCTTGATTTCCCATCGGACCAACCATCACACATAATAGTGGCCCCATATTTCTCCCACCCTTTTCTCTGAGAAATCAAAATTTTATTCATATCAAATACAACATCCTTCAACAAGGGCTCCTTAACCTCATGTAGCAAAGGAGGAATAAGTCTTGGGCCATATTGCTCAATTGCTTGGACCATACATGCAAAACTATCCAGAGTTATAGTATTAAAAGGAATGTCGGCCATGTAAATCCACTTTGCAATCCACTTACATACCGACTTCCTTTGTTCTTTCTTATATTTATTGTCAATTGTGGTTTGTTTTGTTTTTTTCTCTCTCCTGAACTACAATTTCGGGGGTAGGGGTGAAAAAAGAATCCATTGGCCCCTTAGAGAGAGGTGTTCTTCTCTCAGCACTATCACCAATATTTATAACCCTCTCTTGAGGTTGGAGTATGAGTACCCCTTTGCCTCATAGCAACTTCAGACATATCATCATCATCATCATCATCGTCATCATCATCATCAACGTCATCAAATAATTGCATATCATCAAGTAATTCCTTTCTTTTCTTTTTCTTTTTTTTCTCTTTATCTTTTTTCAATCTATCCAAATATTCTTTAATCTCCTTTTTTATATCATTTGTAGCTTGTGGGCATGCTCTTACATTCCCGAAAATTCTGGCGAAATGCTCTTTTTGTCAAAAAATACTACTCATATAAGTATTTCTACAGAGCAAGCATATCACACAATTTCTATCTTTCGGATTTTTTAGTTTAGCATATTTTCAAGCCGGATCCTTGTTACTAGAAAATTGGGAAGAAGACATTGTCCCAAAAATAAGTATAACAGTATTATTGTACAAGAAAGAATAAAAAGTTACCGACTCTGTGAAGTAGTGCTCAATTTCTTCACGGCCTCTGAAATCCCCAATTTCTTAACACAAATTCACATTAACATCCCCAAATCAACAATCAAAAGCATCAAATGAACATCCAAGTATCACTCCAAATCGATGATTTGGATGAAAAAAAAATTTTCGCCAAATTTTATTTTTCCTTCGATTTGATACAATAAAAGCCACAAAAGTGGCTGGAAATCTTCGTTTAGGGGGTATAATAACCCCCCAAACAGTTTCCCTAAACTTTGGAACTATAAAAAGACCATTTTGCCCCTCCCAGAGGGGCAAAATCGAAAACAGATGCGGTCTGATGCGGTGCGATGCGGGATGCGGCCATGATGTGGCCTGATGCGGCGCATATGCAGCCGCATCTGTCAAAAGCGCATATGCGCCAGTTCGCAATGCGGATGCGAGCGCATCCCACATGATGCGGCCGCATTTTAAAACACTGGTCTCTAGTCTTTAGGAGAAGATGTCATCTTCAGGATCTACAAATAAAAGCTCGGATCTAGGTTGGAAGTATGGTTTTTTTCCTGACCCTAAGGACGAAAATAAAGTACAATGCAAATTTTGCAATAATTGTTAAAATGCTGTTATTAATCAGTTGAAGAAACACTTGGCCAGTATTAGAAGGGATGTGGCCACATGCAAACAAGTACCCCAATTTGTAAAGCAAGAAATGTTAGACCATTTAGAGAGAGTAAGGAAAACAAAAAAAAGAAAAAGAACAAGCCTCAAAGAAAGAAGTTGATCTCCTCAAGACAGTTGATATTTTTGGAGTAGAGGCGGATGATGATGTACCTGCTGCTGCTGAGGGCCCTAGTACTATGCAAGGAGGGGTTTTGGGTATAAGAGGCCCAAATCAAGGGGCCTATAGATTATTTCTTCCCCCCCTCCTAATCTTGAGGTCGTTGAAACTTGAATGTTGAAACATTGGATGCTTTTCGTTCAAACTTGAAACTATAATATTTTTTTATCACTTCGTGAAACATTGGGTCATTCAATGTATATGTATGTTTTTTTTCCCTCTTTTCTTTTATAACCATAATATAAGTTTATAACTCATACCTGGGGGGTTTGGTATATAACCTAATCCTGAAAAAAAAGGGGCCATTTTGGTGCCCATGCCTTTGAGCACCCACTAGGAAGGCACCTAGGCCCAAAACCCTCGGCGCCTACTGCCTAGGCACCGCCTAAAGAATTCTCCAACATTGCATAGACCATCAATCACCTCTCCAAAATGTTGATGCAACTTACCACGCAAGGCGATACTAGACTCCTTCATTTTCCAAATCCCAATCCCTATATTTATATTGGGATACTTGGTGAAAGTGGAATTCATCTTGACCACTACCAAGCACAATAATTGCCTCAAGAAATCTGCATGAGAGACATACACTGGCAGTTTCAACATGTTAACTCAAAAGCATCACCAGAACCCCCATAGAAAGTAAGTGGCTCTTCTTGTGGGCACCAACTTTGTAACTGCTCAGTTACATGGTCTGAAGGGCTTCTGCGAGGCTTCCTAGTAATAAATGCAGCCTGAACTAGCTCCACCAAGAACCCGATTAGCAGTTGAGTGAGTCCAATACAGACCTTGCTATACCACCAACTATAGGAGTGCAAGACGTTGGGACCTTTATAAGTGAAGTCATTTGACATATTACTATTGGTAACTTTGACATAATAATATGTTGAATGTTACTATGGTAACATTCAACATAGTTCTATGGTTTCATGACATCAAGAAAGAGGGATGACGTGAGTGGGATCCCACCATTACCGTATGCATAACATTACAAAAGACCATGGATTGGGATGGAGTAGGATAGCCCAATAAGCTTCAAGTTAGCTAAATGCCAAAGTTGAAAGTAGTCATTTATTATTCTTTCTGATGAGGATCATAGCATTGATCATTTTTTCTCATTATTCATCCTAATGATATAGATAATAAATGCTAATGACATAGATGATAAACATCTTATTATCAAGGAAAGCATCAACAATCTGCAGTTGGAAACTTTGATAGGAGTTGTGCTCACTATATTACCTGAAGATATTCCATGCTCATTGCGGAAGTTATCTGCTTTTCCAAGAACCACCAATTCATCTACTTGCGAGCTCGTCCCCTAGAAGTCAACTTCCAAACAAAAAGGTAATCAAAAATTAATCTCTAATGAAATGCAATAAGATAAATAAAGCAACCACTGATGTAGCCTACTAGTTACAAACTAAATAACATATTAAACCTTAGATAACCAATAGGGCCCTCCCTCACTACATCCCTCTTTAAAGCAAAGAAAGACACTAATGGAATTTGAGCTCAAACTGAACCACATATTGAAACTCAACTGACCTAGAGGGTCTTCCATCCCTCGGTGTGTGTGTGTGGCCATATGTTAAACTAAAACCATAGGATCCTATAAAATAAAAGAAAAAAAACTTAATAGCATAAAATTAGATAAAAATCAAAATGACATGCACCCAGAAAAGGATGGTGAGGGATTTCCTATGATGCATGGCACAGAATAACTGAATGTTGGAGCAGAGGGGTCTAGATTGGTCGGAAGCTGCTTAAGAGGCGATGAGGGAGAGCATGTGAAAGAAAGAAAGTCACAATTATGATGATGATGGCACGGACTTGAGGAATAAAAGAGAGCTACCAAGTTGAATCCATTTTGTATTTTAACTTCAAACACTACACATTTGTTATCAATCTATCACAATGAAATTAAGATTGAAAAGGGGTCCGACCAATTTAACCAGATCGCCTTCACTGGTTCAATAACCAGGGTCCTGATAACATAAATTATCAACATCTGTATTCAGCCTTCCAGAAAGCTTTTTATAGATAAAATGACTATTTGTATCAATGCTATAAAATATAAGTTAAATTTTCTGCTGTGCATGTGCGTTCATACAAAAAAGTGTGAAAATCTTATTCTCAAGGAAGCTCTGAGAATGACACTGACGTTTGTGGACACATGAAAAGGATCTCAGATCACACAGCCCCTTCTGTGGTCAGGGAGTCAGCGATGTGTGCGACATTGGATATCCAAATATTGTATCTAAAAAGAATTTTATTCCATTTAGTATTGTAATATTTTTTGAGAATTTTCAAAGGAACATAACCATGTAAGTTCCAAGGTGCCTACTTAATTTTATAGGTGTGCATCAGTTCTATAATGTTAATTAGGCTGTCCCTTGTGTTTTTCATTATTTGATACAAAGTTCTGTATGGAACTGTTAAAAAGAGAGGTAACATTTCGTTTGCCAGTTCTTAGGCAACCAGCCAGCCAATTCTTAGAGAACAGAATCTTAAGGGAGACTTCTCAACGCCATTTGTTGGTCAAGGTCAATTTAGATCCCATATCTCGAGCCCAAAAAGATATAAAATTAGTACAGAATTTTCTGAGGGGTTTCTCAAACTCATTTGTTGGTAAAGATAATCAATGTAGATCGCAGATCTTGGACCTCAAAAGATATCAAATTGGTGCTGCAGGAAGAGCTAATCGTCAGGATTTAAGGATTTGAACCATTATTACCAGGATCGCCCTAATGCCAATCGTGATTCCACTACGGAACCTGTCTTCAGCCCACCAGGAGATGGATCTTCAAGGGAGATCAACTTTTAAATTTTTGGATCTCAATCCCCAATGATAGGGATCGAGATTCCAAAATGTTAGGAGTGATCCCAACCCTTTCAAGATTACGTTGTTCAATTTTTACAAAATATCCAGAGTGTATTTTTAATAAAATAGTTTTATTTATTAAGATTACATTATTTAATTCTTTTTTTTTTAATCTGCATTATTTATTTAATTCTAGTTCTTAGTGGAAATTGTAAAATTAAACATTGTAGTCATATTTCGGCACAATCCCGAACAGTTGAGAGCAAGATCCCCAAAAGGTCGGAATCAAGATACCCAAAAGGTTACCCTAGCATATCCAATGTATGGATGGCACTCCCTATCATAGGGATCTTCTAGCCTTTCGCAATCCCCCTCTTCCGATCCCTTAATTGCGTCCCACCCTGCGCTCGATTCCAACTACTGTGATTTAAACCATTAACAAATTACTTTCAATCCACTGCCTTATGTCAAGCAAATCCCCCTCAAGGAAACTTGAAGCTAAAGGCCGATAATATTACTACAGGAACTCTAGGCTTGTAGAATTTTGGCTTTAACTTCTAGTGGAGCCATACATAATATATAGGGAATAATAATATAGCCTCTAACGAATAACACTAGTACTCAAAATGCCATCCCAGGGGCGCACTACTACATTGTCGTTAGGGATAAGGAGACTAACAGAGGAAGTGGGAATTCCTGTTAGCTACAGGAGTTTGCTCTGAAACTTGTGTGGCCCTCAAAGGAGTGAGGATCTAGTGAACTTACAAGCCCTGTATTATTGAAGGTGTCGCTTTTAATGCTATATGGTGCTACCATGCTAGAGAAGGAGTCTCCTCTTGTATGGAAAATTAGAAGGGATTTTCATAAACATTAGTGGCATGCACACAAAGATGTGCTGTTTATTCAATAATTTTGTACCCAGGACTTGGGAGAGGGTGGCAGATATCAGTGTCAAATGAAATAGGGATGTGGGATTTTATGCCACATAAATAGTTCCACTTTACCGATGCACCTTTGTAGAAATTAATAACTGAAATAGGCATGTGAAAAATGTCATACCAATTGAGCACTTAAAGCGTCTTCCACAACAGGATGCCCCACGAATGTTGCAGCCAACCCATGTGCTCTACAAATATCCACCTCAAATGGAAGAATACATAACACATGATCCACAAGTTTAGCTAGCCCATTCATTCTCTCTTCACCTCCTTTCCATGCCCAAAACGAAGGTGCAACATAGTGGAACCTTAAAGGGCAACTTAGTCCTTGCTGATTATATCTAGCTGCAAAAATCATCTGTTGTTTTTATGACAATCTAATCACCATAACACATTTATCGTAGGAGGTCAAAAAAATTTATGATGTATGTTACCCCTTAATAACTTCAGGAAACGGAATGAGAATCCTTTGGAGTCAACTGTCACTACAACATGGGGCTGAAACAGAAATGCTGCTTCTGTTGTTTCCAGCAACCTCTTCTGTCATGATCAAGCTCCAAGGAAGAAAAGTTAGCATATAGGTTTTCTTAATTGGACAACTTGGTGTATAGTATTAACTAGCTAATGTGAAACACCATAACAGCCAATCACTATACAGACCCTGAAGTTATTCAAATGGGGTAGCAGTTCCCATATGCCCATTACAGCAAGATCTTCCATGGGGAAAAGAGATCTCAAGCCTTCATTATTCATCATGGACCTGATAAGCAACATAGCTATCAGCCACAACAGATAAGAGGCAAGTGCATATGACTATCTAATGTAGATGCATGACTATATACAATGATATCAAGATGCAAGGAGGAGAGATTTGGAAGATTTCTAGTTTCTTTTCTCTTATTCAAAAACATAAATAAATCTTTTGGAAAGACTTCTAGTTGCACAGAGTAGCAAATTTTGGAATAGAAGAATGATTAAAAAGAGTTCGAATTCCCAAGGTTTCCCAATAATGAATCCAATGGAAAAAGAGCCAGTTGCTGGCTTCATCCACTCCAAAAGGAATACATATAAACATATTTGGGAATAAAGACCTCTATGCTACAAATGATCACTAGGTTCTCTTTCTTTGTGCAGCAAACCTTTGTGCTAATAATACAATCCAAAGTCTAAAAAGTAAAGGGCTAGTACTGCATAAGAAATGAGACAAAGGACCTTAAGCAAAATATCACTTTAAGACCCATTCCTAAATCCAGATAGTCCCTATAAAGGCAAAATATCACTTCAAGACCCATCCCTTAATCCTATACAGATAGTCCCTATAAAGGCAATCCAATGTTAGCATTAACCCCATTTCAAAGACTGGATTAGAGTTCCTAAAAGTTTCCTTCTCTAGCATGCCATTCACATATGACCAAGAGAACATTATAGGGGATGAATGCCATATGGACATCCTAAATAATCTCACCATTTCCATCACATGGTGGATGGTCATTTCAGAATCTCTTTATACTAGATTCCTCGGCAAACTTTACTGAAACATAAGTGTAAGTAGGACATAGATATTTTGTAGACCGGCATCCATACCAGCCTCTCATCATGTGCTTAACTGTAAGAACTTGGATCATGACCACGGATAGACTAGATCCCAGTATCTCAGGCTTGGTACAGAAATCAATAATAAACTTCACTCAAGGTGCCAGGACTCACCTCGGCCATTTTACTTGCCCATTGGCCAAGGCGAGTTACTGGGGTCCAAGTAAAGACACAATATATAATAAATAACTCACTTCTTACACAAAGCGTGAAAGGGCGTGTTGGTTAGTTGTTGCGACCCTTTCCCAAGAGGTCTGAGGATCGATCCCCCCCACCCCAACCCATGTGTGTTTTTACCTTTTGCATCCCCTTAAGAAGAAAGAGCCATATGTTCTCCTAAATAACAAGCCTAGAAGGCTAGCCATTTAAAATGGAGTTACTAAAATTGTGGACATATTAAAATTGAAAGCATTGCGCAAAAAAACCAGAAAATTTAAAAAAAAATAAGAGAAAACATGTAATTTTGTAATTATTTTTAAAATTGTTATTTAGTGAAATTAATAGAACAAAAAGATAAATAGTGGACAATAACATACTTATAAATTGTCTCTAAAATAAATGTTGCCTTCATAGTGTGCCTCAAACTTTTTAAGCATAATATTTCCACCAATAGATTTTTAGGCACACATGCACACGCGTACACACACATATCTATCACTAAATCTAAATAATAAAATTACTCAAAAGAATAAAATCATAAATACATAATACTAACTAAGGAATGGAAATATTATTAGAATTACTTAAATTGCCCTGCTCCGGGATTAAAAAATTTTAACTAATGCAATTACCTAATTTCACCACAAAGAAATAATTTCTTCATATCCAATGCTAATGAAGCTTATACAGTACAAAATGTATGTGAAATACATTTTCACCTTACATATATCACTTAGCTAAAACAAAACTCAAGAACCAGTTAAAAAAAAATGGTGTCAGTGGGCTTCAAGGTATTCATGGGCCTTGCTATCAGGCTTAGGGGTTTGGCCCATTGTTGGAGCGATCATAGTCCAAGGGTGGCGATCCCCTCTTGGAATCTCAATCCGGCAATGTCGGAGCTAGAGCAGGAGCAAGAGTCCAAATGATACTTCCTTCCTCCCATCAGTGGATGAAAACAATAACATTTTTCATTGATTTATTTATTCTCTTAATTTTCATTTAAAGACTTTTGTTTATAGTAGAAAATCTTTTCTTGGATTTCTTCATGCCCTTTAAATAAAAGAGATGAGAAAAGATCATAGACCAGAAGCAAAACTCAGAAAACCATTCCCAGAAATAGAGGAATGATTTTCACTGTAACGTCCATTTTTGTTCAAAAGAGAAAAAAAAATCCACTGCCATGAACAATGTAAAAAAAACCAGTATCATCAATAGATAGATAAATAGAAGAGAGAGGAGGGCTTACCCGCCGACTCCAGCGAAGCGCAGAGGACATGGGGAGAGGCGCTTAAGAGAGGAAATGAGGCGGCCACCGATTATGTCACCAGAGACCTCTCCACAAACCATGAAAACCCTAAACTCCTCATTCTCCACCATAGAAGCAGGAGCCCTCCTCCAACTATTTTTATTGTTACATGTGCTGCTAAATGTCCTCCTGCTATCAGTATTCACAATCTTTCTCAAAAAATAAGCACTTCTCGTCATCAACATCATCTTATCCATTCACTGCATCAAATC